TAGATTTAATGATTATTACGGATGTTTATGTAATTTACCATTTTTATCGACAAATTCGAAGAATAGAAAATCAAATGGAATCTTATTTCCAGTGATAATAATTTTTTTGGGGTACAAATTAATAAAAATTGTATTAAATTTTATTGAACTTTGTATTTTAGTATTTTTTTGGACAATTTTTATGAATCACAAGTGCATAAAGGTTTGTAATCTGATAAATCTAATAAAAAAACCGAGTTGCATTTCAAGACCGAAAGAATGAAAATAATACATTGTGTTGATTACATTTCCCAAAACCAATTTTGTGTCCTCAACTGTAAGAATTATACTTGCATTTACTGTAGAAGAGCTATACAAATTACTTTTATGTACAACGATTTTGTGGATTTGCCAAAGACAATGGCATGTTTCTTAATAACAATATAAACATTTAAAGCTGTTCAAACAGCGTTCAGAGATGCAAATCTTTAAAGGTTCAATTTTGTCGGATATTTTCTTTATCTTGAAAAATTTTGATACAAGCATTAAAAGATTTTTAAAACTGCAGATTTTTCACACTTATTGATCGAAAGTGTCCAAAATCGGGATGAAAGTGCGATTCTCGCGATATCAAGGTCAACCGATTTCGATGCAATTTTCAACATGCATATAAGTTACCGAGATCTTCAAAATGCATTTTTAAAAATTTTTCGTTATTATTACCATAATAATTTAATATGTTAGTTGCTAAATGCTGCAGATTTTGGCAGTAAATACTACAATAAAGCACAATGATAAGTATCGCAAATAGACACAAACTGGTCGTTGGTGTTGAAGCTCGCTCATTATTTTATTTCGTCAATCGAAAACGAAATAAGTCCACAGAAAGGGCATCCGCTAGAGCGATAGACTGCGTGGGTGTAGTTACAGTTTTTTCTCAGACACTTAATGTTCCAAATAAATCGGAAAATATCCAACAATATTTCTGGATTAAAGGTGTCTCTCTCTCTTGCACAAAAAAAAGGAAAACTTAAATGTTTGGTAAATAATTAAATCTGGCAAAATCTGCAGAATCGTTGTGCGTGACATCTTTGTATAACTTCGACGATTGAAACAGACATAATTCTGAAGGTTGAAGTTCGAAAAAATTGAAAATTTAGGGTAACGAAAGGAAACGATCATCGATTCCGTGCAACAATTCCGTGTTCTATAAGAACAAGAACATTTGCCTGCTGGTTATCGATGACGCGAAAAAGAAAAAAGTTAATTCGTTAGACGGTGTTATGTTCAGCGCTCTGTATCAACCTGTATCACGATGAATGGCGTGCTTCAATTAATAACCGAGACGAATTTACGAGCGGAACGTATTCGTGCCGGAATATCTCGTCGGCGGTGGCACTGATTGTCCGAGCGTGTAACTGACAGAACCGTGGGTGTTAGAACATCTGATGATTCTTCTTGGCGAACTCAATGTTGAAGCGCGCGTGGTCGATGCAATGAACCGACAGATAGTCGCAGCCCAGGGTGTTACTTCCGTTGACAGACAAATCATAGTCAGTGTGAAACGGGTATTGCCCGCGACACAGCGTACACAGTTGACGATCCGAATGAACGCTTCGCGTTTTCGAACATTTTTCTAATGTTCTGCCGCACGACTTAAAAGGTAATTGTTTGCACGGCGGTTCCTCACCGATCACTTTGCCCGAGCATCGTATGTTAATTTACTTACAGATTTCGTTCACCAGTGTACATTGTCGCGTTCAAAAGTTTCGAGCACGTTATGCTTCTGTTGCGAATGAAGTGTGTTTGCAGTAAATCAGTGTTTCGTTCATGCGATATCACCGTCGTGTGTGTTTCAATGACGAATAGGCTGTGAATCTTTAGGCAGGAACAACATTTTTCGCATCATTGAGCGCGTTTCTTTTCTTAATGGACGGTATTTTTTATTGTAGCAATGAAACGGGGTTTAATTGTAATTCGAAAACGAAGTTAACATCGCGATGCATTTATTTGGTAAAAAGAGTATAATCTATGTAATGATGCAAAATTGAACGGAGAAGATACTCTAAAGCTTTTGGCAACAGTGAATATCTAGATTCACATGTAATACATTTTACATGTGTAAGTCATTTAATTACGGGCACATTGCAGAACAGTAAATTAATTATATCAAATATGCTGCATTAGTTAAGACCTAGTAAAGAGTCAATTCATATGGAGATATAATTAATCAATGTAGAATAATTAGCTCGAAATAGATTTACGGTTTTATTATTTTCTTTCTACACGAATGTTACGATAACGAGAATAAATGTATAAATATAAAAATAAATATATAAATTATGCAAATGTTGTCTCGAACGGCGGACCGGCTCTGGTAAAAAAGTAAATCTAGTCAAATCGTACGCACACCAAAGTTATGATTACAGCCGAGGAAACGCATTCCGGCTCGCATTATCTTTAACCGCTCTATCCATAAAAAAATAATCGTACACCGATACCGACACACCGACATTGAATCTATCGTGAACCGCTGCTCTAGTCGCGTGCAGTTCGCCGCTGTGCCTGATCAATGATTCGTGTCGAACGGAGAACAATTTGACAACGGAAAGCGGGATGGGTGAACGGATCTGTCCTTTGCAGATGCAATCGAGGAAAATTCGCTGGATCATTCGAGTCGAGGAAGACCCGTGGCAAGGCGAGAGTGTCGAGGAGCAAATCACCAGCATTAAATGTAAGTTCTAGTCGTAGATTAATGCAAGAACAATATAAAGAAGAAACCGTTTCGTGAAAGTGAGAATGTTAATTGACTTAGAAATGTCGGACGGTACGAACACTAAAATATCACTGGAGGATCTCATTAGACCGAATGGAGATCCGACAGCATAATAGCAATACGCTCGTTGGGCAAGCACGCCCAATACTGACGCCACATGTCATTTACGTAATTATAAATAGAAGTGATCAACATGATTACGTATTGCGTCGTGTTTTACCTTGTATCATGTGGACTTTGTGGGAAAAAACTGTCATAACATTTATGCCTCGATACATGTCTGTA